CTTTGGGTCTCCATCTGCCGTATTTCAACATCTACTTCTCAGTAAACTCAGACGAGGGAATAAGGATATAATCAATGATCACACTGAAAACTCCATTGCAATCCAAGCCACAGAGTGAAGTGCTTTAATTTCCACCGTAAGGACTGAAGAAACATTAAGATATGCAAAATGGCATGAATAATACAATAGTGGCTCTGTTGGCCACTATTTGCTGAGTAAACTATAATTATGTTATACACATGGGGGAAAAATACCTGGTTTGCCTTTGCATATACTAAAGACTAAAAGAGTTTTCAGACTTTGTGGTCAGGCTTGACCCTTCATAAAAATATAGGTAAGAATGGAAAGGCAAGTAGATTTACAGAGAATGCAGGCAACTTCGTTATACTTTTGGAATAAAGGTGGAGAAAGGAATCAAGTTATTACCCAATGCTTTTAAGGCAGCAGTCCCTAACTTTTTTGGCACCAGGGACAGGTTTCATGGAAGACAATTTTCCCATGGACCCATGGGGAGGGAGGGAGTTGACTTTATAGCCTGCCACCAGATGCAGCTTAATTGTCACTTGCCACTCATTGATAGGGTTTTGACATGAGTCTGCAAGCAATTGATTTATTATGGTCTCTGTGCAATCAAACCTCTCTGCTAATGATAATCTGTATTTGCAGCCACTCCCCACAGAGGATGTCACCACCGCCTCAGCTCCACCTCAGACCATCAGGCATTAGATTCTCATAAGCAGGGGACAACCTAGATCCCACGCATGCACAGTTCACAGCAGAGTTCATGCTCCTCTGAGAATCTAATGCCACTGCTGGTCTGACAGAAGGTGGAGCTCAGGCAGTAATGCAGTGATGGGGGCAGCTGTAAACACAGATGAAGCTTCGCTCCCTTGCCTGCTGTTCACCTCCTGCTGTGTGGTCTGGTTTCTAACAGGCCAAGGTCCACAACCAGTATGTGGCCTGGGGTTTGGGGACTTCTACTTTAAGGAACCCAGACAAGGGAGAGGTCAGCTGATTTATTAGATATTCAGGAACTATAAAGACACAGAAAAACACTAAAGTTGAGAGAAGACTGAAAAAAACTCTACATTTGGATAGCAGGACAAGTTTCAGAACAGAAACATTCATAAATTAAAATTTAGCTAAACAAATAGATGAGCTCCTTGAATTTGTTGGTACTGAGCAGAGAAAAAGCTATTGTAGAGGAAATGATGGAAAGAGAGATATCTGCAAACCTTCCAAATACTTTCAATATTAAGTGTTATTTTTCATCATGAAAAGTACTGAAACAGTGAAATATGAATCATATCAAAAGGCATATTTTTCCCTGGCTGGTGTAGCTCAGTGGATTGAGTGTAGGCTGTGAGCCAGGCATTGCAGGTTCGATTCCCAGTCAGACCACATGCCTCGGTTGCAGGCCATGGCCCCCAGCAACCGCACATTGATGTTTTTCTCTCTCTCTCTCTCTCTCTCTCTCTCTCTCTCTCTCTCTCTCTCTCTCTCTCTCTCTCTCTTTCTCTCTCCCTTCCTTCTCTAGAAATAAATAAAATCTTTTTTTTTAAAGGCATATTTCGAAGAACTGTTTGAGAGACTGTTTTCCTAATATAATATGCCTTTCAAACCTCCCAAAATGATGTTGGGAGCTTCCTTATAGACCTTGCTTATCTTGAAGGAAGTAGATTTTACCAGGTAATAAGATTTAATCAGTTTCTATTATCAGAATTATAATTTCTTTAGCTTGCAACCTGAGAAGAGTACAGCTAAAGCAATTTAAAGTAGCAAGATCTTATTAAAATGGTTCCCACATATACAAGGATTTCTTTACCTTCTTTTATACTCAATATCATAAAGCATCAATATTTTGTCTCCAACAGGATAGATTTCAAACAGAATTAAGTTTTAAACACTCAGCTATTAATATTCACTTAAGTATATCAATTGACACACCAAACAGTGATTTCACTTCAGAAAGGGACTAGATATTCACTGGGGTACAGTTACTATAAGTTGGCTGCTTATTAAAATGATGGTGTATTTTTTAAAAGATTTTATTTATTTTTAAAGAGAGGGAAAGGGAGGGAGAGACAGAGGGAGAGAAACATGGATTGGTTGCCTCTCACACACCACCATCTGGGGACCTGGCCCACAACCCTGCCATGAGCCCTGACTGAGAACTGAACCAGAGACCTTCTGGTTCTCAGGATGATGCCTAATCCACTGAGCTGTACCAGTCAGGACAGATGGTCTATTTTAGTTAAAAAATTATCAGTAAAAATTGGCAGTTGTGTTACATATTTAAACTCAGGTTAATCTACACTAATATTTTATCCCTGATATGCATAAATAATGAGAATTCTATTTCAGTATTGTTTATTGGTTGAAGAAAAGAAAACCAACAGGGTATCATTTATTTAAAGATCACATTTCCTACATTCCTCTAATGCTACTATATGATTCACTAAAGCCAAAATCTGTATCCAACTTATAATGATGTCTTTTGAGATAAATGAAAATTGTCTCTATCAGTCTGATTTCATTATTAAAAAACAGTTCTTTAAGGAGTAATTGAATAGGCTTATAATAGAAAATTCCTTTCTCATTTAAATTTATTTCATTTTTACAATAAATTTAAGTGGTCTATGATTAAGTTGGCATTTTTGCAATTCTAAAACTAAAGTTCAATCAAAGAGAAAAAAGAAATAATAAATTAACATAATTAAAACTTAAATCTCACGATGCAACCTAATAATATGATTATTATCTCCTTATCTCATAGTTCATATGATAGACCAATAACTAGCCAGTAACTAAAAAGAACATTAGTGTGAACTAATTTTTTTTATAATTCCAAAGATCTTATACACTGGGTATATACAAATACTCATTTAATAAATCTACCTCCAGTTTTTAAAATATTGCCTTCCAAATCTTATAGTGAGATTGCATATAGGAGATTATTTTGTAATACATTAAAGGAATATTTATTATTTCCAGACTCTCTTCTATATTTACTCTTAGAATGCTTGTTTGCAAATGACAGAACCCCACTTGGAGTGATCTTTTGGAAGTCACTGAGGGTGTCATGAAATAAAAGGAATGACTGATCATGACTGAGTCGTGTGTATAAGTTGATGAGTAGGCAGAGTGAGCAGGTCTGCAAAGGCAGGAGAAACAGGCACGCAGAGAAAAGCAGAGAAAAAAAAATACACCCCAGGCTTACTTATTGCAGCTCCAGCAAATGAAGAGAAACCAACTTGCTATATTCTGACTACAAAAGTTTTGGGGGAGAGGGAAAACACACAAGCCCAACCTCCATTAGACACACACTGTGAGCAGGGGAAGACAATTTGATTGAAATATTGTAAGACCTGTATGGCTAATAGAAGTAGTTTCCACAAAAAAAGTAGTGGAAGTTGGTAAGATAGGCAGGGCAGGCTATCATAGACATTCACTATGCTGGGAAAGTAGGTGGTAACTGTACAGAAGTAGCAAGTGATCCCACTTGGTTCAGTGGCAGGTTAACAACCTAGAAAAACAAGAAGTTGGAATGATAGATAGTAGGGGACTAGCAGTGAAGGCTAATTCTGGAAGGCTATTTTATATAGACTGCATCACATGAGAAGACATTTCTGTAGATAAAAAGATCAAATATCAGTGACTTCATATGAAACAGACATTTCTGTGGTTCAAAAGTGGATGAATATTGGTAATTTTATGTTTCAATGTAGTATCTTATTCAGAAACCAACTGCTATTGAAAAGAAAGAGAAACGGGATCAAACAGAATAGGAAGTATTGGGTTGGCCAAAAAGTCCATTTCATATTTTCCGTAAAATAAAAGACACATTTTTCATTTTCACCAATAAGTTTATTGATTTGCATATTTTGAGTATGTCAGCTATCTCCTGTGTGTTCATTGATTGTTCTCAAATAATGTCTCAATCTGATTGCTATCAACTTCAACTGGTCTTTTTGACCATGCATCATCGTCCAGCAAGAAATTTCCAGCAAGAAACTTTGCAAATCACTTTGGACATGTTTGATCAGTCACAACACCTTCTCCATACACTGCACAAATCTTTTTTTGCATTTTAGTTGCATTTTTACCTTTCTTGAAACAATATGAAAAGTATTTTCTTGAAAGTATAATATGCTGAAAATGTCGCTTTTTTTCCATCTACAATATTAAAATGGCTACACAAAAATTCAACAATTTTGACTTTTTCTAAATGCATGCTGATATGACAGCTGTCACAATACAGAGTAACAAAGTTGTTCAAATGAAGTTAAAAGACAATTAAGTGCTACTAGAGCCACTCTACGGAAAAAATCCAATGAACTTTTTGGCTGATCCAGTAAAATAGAACAGAGTGTTCATAACAGGAAGGTAGAAACAACTCTTGCTTACTGATTGGCCATTCTGTACCAGGTATTATATTTTATGTTAGGAAACCTCTTAGAAAGCTTTGCCTTTGTAAATGTGTTTGATTCCTACAGGGCTTTAAAAGGGAAAGCAATTAGATTAGGACTGATTACAATATGAATAGTTCATAACCTATTACTTCACATCTAGGTTTTAAATCTAAAGTTATTTCAAATTTAAAAAAAATGTTTTACAAAATAGTCAAGCCTGGATTTATATACCATGCCTCCCAGTGCTATGTAGTATGACCCTGTACAAATCATTACTTTGATTTCCTCACTTGTAAAATAAAAATATAGCCATGCTACCCGTTTCTCAGGTTAACTCATTATAAATCCTGGAATAACACTCTAGACTTATAAAGCTATTAATAACCACAATTACCATCATTTTGGAAATAATTACTCTGAAAAAACTGATGTAACTGAACACTTGAACACTAGTTTAATGATATATTGTAAATGGAAAATAAATGGGCATTGATTTTCATGTAACTGAGTAATCAGTAACCTGCATTTTAAGGAAATTGAGGTTTTATTTGTCATCATGTTTTATATGCACAGCTGTAGTTCTCTTACCATTAATATCTTCGTAAGATGAATATGAACGTTTTTTTGCAAACACTGTAAAATCTGATTTACGTAAGATAGGATTGCTTCCTGAAAAATCACCAGCCAGTGCGACCTGTACCTTCTCTTTTACCCGTTTCTTGGCCTGACATTGTATGACAACTGCAAGAAAGAAAAACTTCCAGTTAATTGGACTATCAGGTTATATGATCATTCTTGAGCTAGAAGAAAATAAATTATTAAATGATGGCATGAAAAATAAAAGCTTCTTTGGAATATTTTTACTTGATGTTGTATCTGGCATTTATAGACAAACACACATTCTCACTCACCCAGTATCTATATATATTAACATTTTGCAATAAACTATGAATATTAAATGATATGCAAAAATAGCATGACAAGACAAATTAGGTAATAGAAGATTGTAGTAGAATGTAGAAATCCGATTCAAAAGCTGATCTAGTAATATCAGTAATTCAGTGGGTGGTCATGAAAATGTGAATTTTTCAGTTATGTATGTATTCAGTATGGTAAATACCAAACTTGACTTATATAATTATACTATAGAAAATACCCTCAAATAATTAAAAAAGTAAGTTATGTAATATTTATTTTGTAACAACAGTTTTAAAATATTTCCTATTATACTATTTACATGCACTTTAAAGTTCCTTTAAAGTATTTAAATAAAATATTTTGATTTTCACTTGTGAATTGCATTTAAATTTACAAAATACATAATTAACAGTTAAAAATAAAACTGTTAGAGATTATTTAAAATTAATATTAAATATGATTACATATTGATATAATGTGCAGCATGAAAACTTTATATACTTATATATATATTAAATTCCAGTATTTTCTTACATCAATACAGAAGTTGCTATCAGTAATCTGGTGAGAAACCCAAATATTGTTTTTATATAAATACTAATTATATAAAGGAGTATTAATGTATTCCTCTGGCATTAGCCTTGTATTATATCATGGGGCCGTGCATACTAGAGTCTACATAAATGAGAATATTATTTCTTCAAAATATAATAATGTTACTTTCTTCACTTTAGATCAATACAAGGCTTAAACTGAATATAAGGATAAAAAGGGAACTATAATATTAAAAAAGCTTTGAAATTTATTATTCTATGCTTTTGTGGCATCAATTAACAATAATATATTCACTCAGACTGCAAACTTGGATACTGTCCTCAGACTCATGTGTTTTCACTATACATACCACATTTATAGTATTAAAATGTTTAAAATAAGTTTATTGTTAATTCTAAACTTTATAGGCTGATAGTCAATATTTTGGACTTAGAATAAATGTGAAATGTATAAGAAGAATACAAAGTTAGAGGTAAATTAAGAGGGTTTAAATGGCTGAGGAAAATGTACAAGCTTCTCTGGTTATCATTCACTTCAGTCTTAAAGCATTATGTTAGAAATTAGTGTGATCAAAGCTACAATTAGTATCATGTCACTCATCTTTTCCTATAAGTGCTAGGAAATTAGTGCCCTGAAAATGTAAAGATCACGAAATCACAGTGGATTCACTTTCCATTGTATTTCCACTGTAACTGGTAGGGGAGTCCTTTTACAATTATCTGCCCCAGTGGACAGGAGCAGATAACAATGTACAGAAAGAACAAAACCCAACAGAACAATAAAAGTTCCCTGGGTTTGAAAGTAAGCTGGGCGATGGATACATAAAAAAAGAAAAGAAACAATACACATCGATGGTGATACCAGTGAGTTGGGAAAGCAATAGGTTATCTTTAATGTGTTCTTAGGAATGAACAATAGACTGGACAGAAAGTAAATAATATGTATTTATAAAATTATACCTATTTGTTTCTCAAGGGCATTTGTAGATAAAAATAATTACAAGAATAGGGTTTGGAGTTTTGTAAAAATGATGTAATAGTACACAATCTGTTTCGGAACACTGAAGTTACTAATAGGTTGGGCTAAAGCAACATAGGCTATTTACAGAAATCACATTTAATTTAAAAATAAAATAATAACCAAGAGATATGACTAGATAGAAAGTACCTTTCTGTGTCTGGAACATATTTAATTTCCTTTGAAGGAAACTGTACAAAAATTATGTTTATGTTCTCATAAGCTTTGTTTCAGACTGAAAAACATCTTTGAATCTTTAATCTAGTTCAAACAAAACTGTGTTTTCATAGATACAAGTCACACTGTTCAAACTGCAACAGAGTAATGTCTAGACTTTATCACATCACATTGATCAGATGACTGTGTTACAAATTTTAAACTGTTTAGCTCCATAGAAAGTATACAGACAACTATCTTCTAGAAAGAAATAAACATTTTGACATGTTTGTGAAGCATTCTGAAGATAATTCGGTATATTTAAAATATTTAGGTGTGTTGATAATCTTTTAACTCCAAAGAAAAAAATACTTCAAATAAAACAAATGACATTTATTGTCAAAGGTACTGCTAGATATGTGGATTTTTTTAATTCCAGTTAAAATGAAACTATATAGGGAAATATGAAATCACGGCCTTCCTTCTAATGTATTAGGGGAAATGGTGTTATTCACAAGCAAAATTTATTTTCTCTTCTTTCAAAGTGTGGTCATATCATTTATGTCAATAAAGGACTCTTGCACTAGCACAGACTGGTAATGGGGGGAGAAGGAAAATTCAAATGCCAAGACTTTATGTTTATGTTGCTCAATGGGGAGGTCCAAAATAAGTATCCCTTCACTGTGCACAACAGTTCAATGTTTCTTGGTCATGAGGAATTAGGCCTAGAGCCTGGTAAGAGGCTGGGATACTAAATTTCACTTTATGGCTACCTAAGGGGGATTGATTTCTTCAGCTGATTATTAGAACAAAATGGGAAAAGCAAGGAATGCAGAAGAAGTGGAAAGAAGAAGGAGAACAAATAGAGACTTGAGAAAAGTCTGGAGCATGTGGAGGAAAAAAAGGGGTCATCGAGGAAAAGAAAGGCATTTAAAGAGTAAAGATTTTATGCTGTGTGTATCGCAAATGAATCTCCTTGAGGACTTCAGTACATTCTGACTAGTTTTTGGAGAACATCATAAAAGCTGGTATCTGGGACAACAAGAATAGAGGCATGGGATAGTTCTTGGTTGAGAATTAGAATCACAAAGAAGCTGAAATATGGTGATTAAATGTGACAAGAGAATCAAAGTACCTGGGACTCTCATAGATCTGGTGCAGGGTTTGGAGCGCCTCACAGAACGTGAGATAAAGGAGCCTGAAGTTAATGTTATTTCGATCTTAGCTGATTGCTACGTTTCACCAACAAGGAGAGCACCAGGAAATGTGGTTTGGTGGAAGGATCTGGATTCCTGGTTAGGACACCAGATGTAGTCCTAGCACTCCCAACAATAGGGCTGGTTACTTCACAACTTATTCTCCCTGGACCTCGATTTTCTTACTCATACCAAGAAAAGATGGGACTGAACAGCCTCTAAGGTACCTCCGAATCCTGGTGTTTTCTGACAGTAAAATATATCTACCTGGAACGAATCCTTCATGTTTCGCCTCTGGGAGTCCAATAATAGGGTATATCCATCGTATTGCTTGGATTTCTCCACTGTCTACTCCAATAAATCTAATTAGAAATTTAAAAAAACAGTGAACAAAAGACATAAACACTGTCAATATTCATATAAAAGAGTATATTCTCTATGAAACTAATGGTACTTGAACAAAGCTTGTGAATTTAAACTTTGGCAGGGAGAAACAGTATGAAATACAAAACATTTTTGGCAAATGTTGATTTCATAAACATTTTAAAGCAAACCCTGGGAAATTATCACAAACGAAATTGGAATGCAACCATTATGAGATGTATGTTAAAACTGAAAACTTCCCCCCCTACATTTAAAGCTTGGTATAGGTATTTATTGATGTGACTAAACTGTGATTAATCAGAGGTAATATGGTTCCCGTGGGTTATAATCTAAATCGGACAGGCAAAGTACAAAAAAAGCTGCCATTAAGTATAGAGCTTCGGAAAGTGATAAGTAATTTACACTGGGGGGGATTCCAGTTAAAGGAAAGGGGGCATTTCTCAAAATACTTTAAGTCCACTATACACCATCAGGAGGACAGCAATAGTAGAAAAATGGTGCTGATCACTGTTGAAACAGGCGGGGCCAGCTTCATGGGCACATGACCTGTGCAACCACACAAATACCCTACACTTAGAATTGCTCCATGCTTGTTTAATGTACCGCAGTAACTGTTTGAAAATTTTTAATGCACGAGGTCCCCTCATTTTCATTTTACACCGGGGCCCACAATCTTGTTGGTGGTCTTGACTGCAGGAGTGTTGAAAACACTGGATGGCTGAATGGGCCCAGAAGAGATATTTCCTTTCAAATGTAGAGAAGGAATATGTACAGATAGGGCAAAGTAAGAATTTCTTTTTAATTAAGATTTCTAGACCATTATTTAATGAAACGATAAAAGCACAGCAAACATTTAAATTTTGCATTTTATTGGAGTTTGCTTAAATTTCAGCAAAGCAAAGAGAGTACATGTAACCTGCATTTAGGCACTGAAATAGTACCTTCTAGTCACGGGAGAGGTTCATTAGGATGTCATATCCACCAGGCACAGTGCCATCATCTGGTGAATGCCAGCATCACAAGTCCTATACTTCGCCCAAACTGGTTTAGTTTGTTCTCTAGATATAGATTATTTATAGTCTCAGCAGCAGTAACTATTTTCCCAATCAAAAAGAAAGCCCTTTGTATGTCCCTGACTCTGATTCATTTACATGATTCTTAAGACTGACTCGTTCATCACTCTGAACTTCAATCAGCAATGATATATACTATACCATACATTTTCCTCTTCTGAACATGTAAATTTCAGTGTCCAAAAATAGAAAATCACAAACTTTATACTGCATTAACATATAAAAGAAATCAATCATATCAGTGACAGATAAAATGAAATCAATATCCTTATTTGAATGTTACCTTTTCATGTCTGTACTCAATTCATCAAAATTGTCAATAGTCCATTTTTCCCCATCGGCCCTTATCATTTGAACAACGAGCATTGTTTTCTTTAATTTTACAATGCTGGGAGTAAAAAGCACTGGGATATCAATAATCCCTCTAGGAGGCAATGGTATTCCTGTAAAACACACAAAAATAATTTTAATGTGGTAAGTATTCCAGAATATAATTTGAACAGCAGAAAGTAATCACCTAATTCCTCTCCTGATAATCAAGTTTTCAAGATCACGTTTGAACAACAACAACAAAAAAACATCAAGCAGAAGTGTAAGTGACTTTACTGGCTTCATCATTAATTTTCCTCGAGAGGAAGGGAGGATGAAACAGAGGGAGAGAAACATCTATATGAGAGACAAACATTGATCAGTTTCACATGCACCCCAACTGGGCACTGACCCTGCAACCTACGAATATATGCCCTGCCTGGGGATTGAACCAGCAACCTTTCAGTTTGTGGGATGTCACCAAACCAACTGACCCACATGGGTCAGAGCAGCACCAACTCTTTAAAAAATACATTTTATCCAGAGGCAAGAGGTTCTCCCTAAGAGGCTGGAGTGTGGAAGGAATATTAAGACTGGTGGCTTAAGTGTTCCTGAGTGATAGAAGAACCAAAAAAAACATGAATATTTTCAAGTCACTACATTTTGCAAAAGACAAAGTATAGCCATTTTGACCCTTTAATTTCTTGTGTATTTTCTTCTTAGAACATAACACTCCAGGTTTCTCCTTGGAGCCCCGAGAGTGCTACCAGTAAACTGCTCACTTATTTAACTGATGCCATGAGGGAACCCAGAGCTTAGTTGTGAAAGAAAGGGGCATCCATTTCCAAGTTGTGAAGACCAGAAGACAGAAAAACTCACAGCATCTTCTGATGTTCTTATGAATATTAGAATTTTTCAGTCTTTACTTTGTACAAGAACTACCTGTGAAACATCAGATATGGAGAGTGCTGAGCCCCATGTTTAGAAATTCTGACTTATATACTCTGGACTGTGATCCAGGAAGCTGTATGTTTAAGTAGCATCCAATGGGATACAGAAGCAGATACTCATGGGACCATATTTTGAAAACAAACTCTGCCTGTTGGACAAATTTTAAGAGGTTGTAAGAGTGGTGAACTTTGGTCTATTTGTAACAGTGATGGTTCCCAAATGATGTGTGTCTCCCTTTATTGTGAAGAGTATTGTAAAGAATTTTCTACCAGAAAATAAGGGATATTGACCACATTCTGTTTTTTAAGAATTCTTTGTTATAAGATTGACAATATTCACAGCCAATTTGTCTCTGAGGAGAATACTGTACTAAACTATTAAGAACATCAAGAAAGGAAATAGAGCCCTGACTTGTATGGCTCAGTGGATTGAGTGCCTCCTGCCAACCAAAGGGCCAATGGCTTGATTCCCAGTCGGGGCACATGCCTGGGTTGTGGGCCAGGCCTCAGGTGGAGGGTGGAGGCTCTGCAAGAGACAGCCACACACTGATGTATTTCTCCATCTCTTTCTTCCTTTCTTCCCCTCTGTCTAAAAAGAAATAAATAAAATATCTAAAAAAAGAAAGTAAATAGAAAATTGCCCCTCTGCAAAATATCCCAACTCAAAACTCTTACAAGTTTTCAAATTTTAAATTTTATTCCTTCAGGAAATAAAAATGTTGTAAGCTTTAATATTATAGTTTATAAGTGTTATTAGTATTTATTGAGTACTGATTATATGCAAGGCTCCATGCTAAGTATTTTAATGAGACACAATATCTCATTTCATTCTCAGAAAATCACCATAAACTAAATGCTATTATGTCTTTCATTTTAGAGACAGAGGAATTGAGACAATTTGGTTAACTTGCCCAAAGTCCCAATGAAAGATTGTATTGTTTGCTAAGCAATTTAAACAATGTGTTATCTTCAACTTGGTCATTATGAACTTCATATTTTTAGTGAATCACTGATTCAAATGAATTAAAACAGCAAGAGATGGAATAGAATAAAAATAGGGAGCTCAGTCAACCAACCAATCATACATTCCTAAGAAAATGAAGTTTAGAAATGGTCACTTACCATTAGAAAATTATATTATCACTAAATTATAATTATATAATTATATTACCCTTGTTGTATGACTTCCAATCAGTTAAATTTCTGAAGGTTCTGAATGATAGTTGTTCTATAGTTTAGTTGTAATTTTGATGTGGATATGCAAGGAGGAGGGTCGTGTTTACCTGTGACACCATTTGACCAGAAGTCCACAACTAATATAGCTTTTTGATTAATGACCCTGTCTTCTTTGTCCTCTATAGTACACTAGTGTGTGTGTATAAAATATTCTCTTCAGCTGAAAAAATACACTATGATAAAATATAGAGCATGAGTTTTAGAAGTTTAAATCTATGCTGTTACTTAGTTCTGTGAAACTGAAAAAGTTAATTAAATTTCTAAGTGAGATTTTCTTCATATGAAAAAGAAAGCTAATGTAATACATATATCAAGCTATCACTATGGCAAAGGTACTATTCCAGTTCCATCCAGATAATCCCATTTTGTACAGAATGCATTAATTCTGCACTATTTTATTCTCTTACTTATTCATTCTGAAAGTACTATGTGCCATGCATTGGAATAAGCAGTATGGATAAAATGGTGAAGAAAATAAATCCCCTGCTTTCTTGTGTCTTGCATTCCAGAATCTTAGAAGGGTGAGGAGAGAAGCAAAACAATAAATAAAATGAACTATACATATGGTTGTTGTTGAGCAAGTAAATGTTTAAAAGGGTTAAAAAGGATGTGGAACTTAAATAATATAGGGTGATTTGGGAAGACCTCTGTGATACAATGAGCAGGGCAACTAAGTGTGTTTGAGAAGCCTCACAGACATCTGTGGGGGGAATATTTAGATAGCATGTGAGTATGAGTCTGGATTTAAAGAGAGGGCAAGGCTGGGGCTATCAATTCACTAGTTGTTGAAAGCTCATGTGTGACTAAATGAAATTCCATTGGGAATGAGTGTTGATAGAAATGACAAAAGGACACAAGTCTAACCATTGGGCCTCTAGGAAGTCAAGGGTACAGGGACAGAGGAAAAAAATGCAAAAGAAAGTGAGGAGGACTTACTACAGAGAAGAGTCAAAGAAGAATTGAGTCCCAGTGAGCAACTGCTTCCAAAACAGTGAGTGATGAGCTGCTACAAGCTCATGAGTTGAGCAAGATGAGGACAGCATACAGATGATTAGATCTGGCAATCTTATATTATGGAAGAACTTAAAAAGAGCTATATTAGTAGAAAGATGGGGAATGAAGCCGGATTTGCTTGGGTTGAAAAGATAATGGTATAAGAAGTGAAGATGGTAAGTATAGACAAGCTTTCAAATTGTTTTGCTACACAAAAGGATCAGAATAATGGGATAGCAGCTGGCAGAGATAAGGGATAAAGGCAGGCCTGTCTATTAACATCAAGAGCTTCTATTGCATGTGTATTTTGATAGAAATAATCCAATAAGAATCATTAGAGAGAAGACAGAAGGGAGAACTCCTAGAGAGCTCCACACAGTTGAGTAGGTGTGTGGTTCAATGACTAAGCAGAGGGATGGTCATAAGAGCACAGAGAGCTTTCCGATGTAATGGGAGGGACCACAAGGCACATGGATGAAAATAAAATTAGGCTGATCGATGTAATGGAAGAACTAGACAATTAGACTCTGAGTTTACTCTATATTCTTAATTAAATGGGAAAGAAGACTATCAGTTGTGAGAAGGGGAGGAAATGATGAATGTCAGTAGTAGTTACCAGGTTTCAATTCAAAGTAAAAAATTTTACTATACCAAATTTTATTAAAGGAAAACCAGGTTCCATCAAATGTTCATCACTCACTCACAATTTACCTATTTCTATACAGTTCTTTCTATCTGTACATCCATCAACCATGCTACCTGTTTAAAAGGCCTCATGTTCTATAATTCCTAAGCAATCTGCTCTTTGTTAGAATATTTACCTGCATTTGTGAAATGAAGAAAATGGCATAAAATGGTGGAAAAAAGAAATGACACCATGCCTTAGGTTCCCTTTTACAAGCTTAGACCACATAAACTATTTTAATAAGTTTCATGTCTGTTCTCATCACAAAAAAATGTTCTAGTGGTATAAGCAGGCCTAAATTTCAGTTTATATAGATTTTTCTGACAGACAGGCACCCAGGCATCTTTGCATAACAAGACCTGTAGCTTGTTTGTTTGTTTTTTTCAACAATAAAATCAGTAGCTTCAATGACTACCTAGGAAGTCCACCTACTTTACACTATAAATCATAATCACAAATCTATGTGACTGGAACCTGAACTCATTCTTGGGAAAATTGGTCATTTGACATAATAAGAAAGGACATTTTATAAAAAATGTGAAATCACGCTCAGCTGCCAACAGAACTTGGTAAACATTCATGACAATAATCTGAGATCTGGGCAAGCTTCATGTGCTGGCAGCAGCCTGCAGCATTAAGTGTCACTAAACACTGAGTTCTTGAAGACATTTTCCAATTCATAAGCAGCAACATTTATTTTCAAAAGCGTTATTTTTACAAATAACATTTCATTATTGATGTCAAAATACATGATATATGTTAACTAAAATCAACATGAGACATGGCAATTATCTCTTATAAGAAAAAATGTGTCTTTTCTAAATGCTAATGCTATCACTCTGATTACTTACTTAGCTTTGATTATTAGCAATCACACAAACACAAACGATGCATATTTTATCTTTAAATAATAGATACCAAACATAGTGTATCTCTATCTTTTTGACTATTCTCACTATAATATGACATAATCCCTATCCAATATAGAACATTTGAGAAAATTATAAACATGCAGTTAGAAATAATGAAAGCAAGATCCCATGTACCCTTTAATCAATTATCTCCCTTGGTAAAATCCTGTAAGACTATACTATAATACAAAAACTAGAATATTTATATTGATACAGTAAAAATCAAGAAAGTTTCATCACAAGTCTGACCTCTTATATACTTCCTCACCTCTCTCACTATTCCATTCCTGAATCATTACACTGCTAATCTATTCTTCATTTCTATAATTTTATCATACAAAAGATGTTACATTAATGGA